AAAAAATACTAAAACTAATTGATACTTTATTAACTGATACTTTACTGATCAGTATTTTTAAAAAGTATCGAAACCAATTGGTATTTTACTGAAAATTTTGGTTTAATATTTAAACTTAAAAATTAATACTGATACTGAAACTGATAAATCGGTAACAATATTTACTGATACCAATTGGAACCTTAACTATATATATACTATATATATATATTATATATTTTAGTATATAAATATGAGCATTTATATAATATATATAATTTTTAATAAATGTTTTATTTATTTAACTAATTTTATTTAAATTAATTTTTAAAATTATTTAAATTAATATATTAAATAATGGGCATTAGTTAAACTATTTATAATATAATGCACATAATTAAATATTAAAATATTTATCAAAAGTTAACCAGTATTATTATTTTATGGGTTCAGATGGTACAATCAAAATTCAAGTTAATTATTTTTTATCAATATCAATATTATTTATTTTAAAAAAATTTTTTATCAATATTCACATTTACTGTTTATGAATAGATAAGCAATTCATAAATTATTTTTAATTTAATTTCATTTACTAAGTATTTTTTAGAATTAAAAGTTTTATATGCAATAGTTGTTAATATTAATTTTTATAAATGGTGATGTGGAATTCTTAATGTAATGATAAATATATAATAAACTAAAATTTAATAAATTTCTGTCGCTAAATGCTTATTTGCAGTAAAATAAATAAATACGGTAAGTTAAATATTTATAATTATTTTATTTTACAATTCATTTACCCTTTTGTCATTTAATCAATAGGTTAAATCGATAATCGATCATTGCTAATTACTGTATAATTAAAGTAAATTAAAATAAATCAAATATCAAATATATATATTTTTTTAAACAATAAAATGTCAAAGAAAGATAATCGTAATTTTCGATGATACCTATTTCTAATTATTTTTTTTAAATAATTTTTTTTGTATTAATTTGTTGTTTATGATCATTTGGAATTTGATGAGGAATAAAAAAAAATCGTGTACTATTTTTAAAACTATATGTTAGATAAGATAATTATTTATCCATTTATTTTCCAATGATATCCATTCATTACAACAGTATTTTTGTTATGATGATAACTTTTATTTTTTTTTTAGAAAAAAAAAAAATTAAATAATCAAATCGATAAAAAAACTGAGAAAAGGTATCAATAAATATTCTTTGTAATCGGTATTAAGCGATTTTAGTTGAGGGAACTTGCAATTTTTGGGGGGGGGGGATACACAAATATGAATACTGTATACTGTATTATTACGATTTCATTCGATTTCAAAATCGTATAATAAGGCGATTTATAAAGTTCGTGTAACTCATTATTTACGTATACTGTATATCTTACAATCTTTTATAGTAAACTCTTACCAATAAAAAATGACATTTGATCAACAATTAAGGCCCGATCTTAAATTCGATGATGATTCGCGATGTTCATTTGAACGGACGGTGTACATCACGTGGTTTATCGTTTTGATTCATGCTGTTTTCCCGAGGATAATCATGATAAAAGTAATAAGGATTCATTTGACGCAATAAAATAATGAAATTGTATTAATGTTTTACGAATATTAAAAGAAAAGGGAATGAAATATCGATTGCTTTGATTAAAGAAGAAAAATTAAATAAATGCAAGAAAATTTATAATTATTTGATCAATTTATCGGATTACTTGGAATTACGGTGATGTATTATTATTTAATGAAAAATGTAATATTTTAAATCCGAACACTCTTGTTAATCGATTCAACTAATGCCTTATCATAGGACGATAGGGAATTAATTTCCAATCGGGTTCTTGATGAATTTTGTCCAACGAATTTTGATTTTGAGAGGTGGGGATCGTCGTGATAACTCGGAATTTCATTGGAATCTTGTGTAAAAAATGTTGCCGAACAACCTTCGGTTATTTCGCCATAACCGTAGTTACCATAGTTGACACCTTGCCTTCGTGTGGCTCTACGAACGTCACAATTTGACCACAACTTGCCATGCAGTTTTTTGGTGCATAAGGCAATTTGGTCATACATGTATCTGTCCTCTGGAGAACATTTTCCCCAAATTTGACTCGCCTTGCGAGAAATCTCCTGGAGTTTTGATCCTATCTTTGGACCATGTTCCGCTATAACTCTCGCTTGATAGTCTTTTCTAAAGATTATGAAGCTGTTTTGGCATCGCGTTGTCGTTCGCCTGAGTCGGTTGCTGGGAAATATGAGGTCGTGGAGTGGGAGATAAAGTTTTGACTCATATTTCTTCCTCTCATCGCTCGTTATCACGGAATTTATTACGTCGTCAATAAACTCGGTGGTAATATACTGTGTTTTCGGAGTGATCGTGTCAGGTTGTTGGTAAGGAGAGAGTGCGTAACGAATCGGTATTGACGACCGGTGAGTATACAATTCATATTTATCGGGCGAATGAAATCGCGACGAGGAAGAAATGTGCAAAGATACTTGCTGATTCTGCATTAAAAAAAATAAATAATATAAATAAAAGGAAAAATTGAAAAGAAAATTCAATGCTTTTATAAAGAAGGGTCGTTCGTGGACTTGTGAAACTTGTTTCACCATTTCATTCAATTTACGTACAAGAATATGAAAACATTGTAACTGGTTTTCACACATTTTAACGGTGAAAACAAAAATGAACCAAATTTAAAGTAGGAAATGATCGACAATTCACTTGTCGATCAACTCCGATGATGAGTTACAATATAAGAAAGAATTGGGCAAATAATACAAAAATAATTTACAAGGATAATTTCGGAGTTTCTTATTTTTCGTTCAACGGTTAAAATTGAGTCGAAGGAAGGACTAAAGATTTATTTTATTATTTTTTTTTTTCAAGCGTAAATTATACAAATGAAAGAAACTCATATCTTGTCTGCAATTGAAGGATTAATGGATGTTCGCAGGGTCCAAATGCTTCGACGTCAAACATTGATTTACATTCATTGACAAACCACCATCGCGATTTGCCTATTGCAACCTGCGTATGAAAAATTACGTGATTGTTTGTTACATGAATTCCGAGATGGAATTATAAGTACTATCTGTACTACATTCTATGGACAAGATAAATAAAACGCGCATCCAAAAGCCCAACTCCATTAAAACAGCCAAACTACACCAACGAGTCTCATCTTTTACCTTCAGCGATGAAGATGAATAGATTGTGTTCAAGTTGGAATATTCGACGGTGAAATCCTTGAAAATGTAATATTCGTAACAATAGCGATGGCGTTTAGTAGTTCCAAACAGTTCATCTTTATAAATGTATCGATGAATTGGATTTCGCAGAAACCATCGCCACCAGGGACGTTCGGTTTAATCGCGATATGTTGTGGGTGAATGCATATTTCTGGAAGCACCTATATCGTGTCATCAACAAGGTAGATGATGGCTAATTTTGGTTTTATTCTATCACGGTCATTCATTGAGAGAGCTATAGCTTGTAAGATATCGCATTGAGTATGACAAGGAAATACTCTGTAATATCAAGAATTAGAAATAACCAATCATTTGCGTATCTCCGGTATGAATTCAGCCCATCTCATCCCATTCCAAGAATACTATACCCAACCGTGATTTGAGCGTGCATAAATTGGAATTCAAGATTTTTCCTTCCAATACAAGGCAAGCCGTTATCAAAAAATCTTACGGTATGGGGGACGTTGAATACCTGGGTCTTCAGAAGAAGAAGAAAAGGTTTACAGAAGAATCAAGATGAAGAAGTTTATGAATTTTCACGGAAGAAATAAGCCTTCTCTGAGTTGAATAAAGCACATTGTCCTCGATTCATTCATGTATTAGGAAAGAACACTACGTTAAAGTATTTCCAAATCCTTTTGTGTAACCAATATAGAGATTAATTTTATGATGGTACACATCCATCTTTTTGATGTAACATTATCTACAGATACTATGACCTTTTCTATCATCCATGGATGCAATACGCACGATATCAAAAATTCATGCGTTGATATCACGTATCGATTAATGAAAATTAGAAGGATAAATGTTATGAGTTGATTTGTACGAAGAACCTTAGAATTATGAATCATAAGTCATGATGTGATGAAAAAGCAATTTATGTCGATGATACGACAAAAAGAAAATTTTGAAAACCAATAAAATTCGACAAAGGGACTTTAATAATTTATGCGACACTTCAATCACAAAAATTTAAATGCGTAAATTCCGTCTCCTTTATAATATATTATATATATTGTATAGTATGACAAAATCTCTTCGCTTGTTGTCTGCAACATTATGATTTAAATTCTTCAAAAAAAAATTTCGACTGTGAAAGAGAGAATCGCGTAAACATTGTGAATTCCTGCGCATGCATGAGCATGTGTTTTGTACACAAATGCGATGGATACACCATTCTCTGTCGCGTACGGTAGTCAAGACCAAGTTTGTGGCTTTAATTAAAACAAAAATAATTCAAAGCATCATTCACCTGCTTAACACCTTTCTTTTTAATGCATTGTACCACATTACACAATATTGCAACACTATCCCTTGGGAACCCTTGCGCCGTGCATAAGACATTAACCAGAGTGGTGAAGTTTTCAGAAATCAGATCCCAAATAGGTTATTGTACCTGTTGCTTTATGGATTTAAGTCACCAAACAAAATTATCGCGCGTGATGTAATGTTAATTCTAGAAAAAAAAAGTGATGAATCAATAAATACTGTAAATCAATAAATAAAAACGTTGGTCAAAGATATACTCGACTAACTTTAATCCGCCATCCTGGAAACCAATAGAAACAACCCCACACATCGGATAACGATGGAGTTCTTCCGTTATATACGTAAATTGTCTTGAATTGACTAATGTCTGTTGTACAATATAAGGGTCCCATCTGATATCGGTGTTCTTTTTTCGTTCATCGATAAGAATTCAAACCCTTTCTGATGTATCAATATACATGGTTGCGTGCGAATATTTGGCACATCTATGTTTTCGGGTATAATTCCGCGAGTTCATTGATTATCCTATATCAGTGCATACGGCACTTTTGTGTGCACATAAAATAATGAAGATGCAAGGGTTTTCTCATTATTATTCCTCATTCACATTGTTATTACCATACGACCATCTCACGAAATTCATCTTTACATAAATAAATGAATACACTGTATGTATACAATCCTATCTTAACAATTATGAATCTAATCAGATACACATACTGTACAGTCGCCTCCGAAAGTAACGCCCGATTTAAAGTATTATAAATAAATAAAATTGGACATTACTTTCGTAGGCAACTGTACATATTTTTATTAATATCCGCAACCATTGAAAAAGCACCAATTGAATTGTGAAAACAAACATTTTCAATAACCTAAAATCTTAATTAGCATGCTGCAGTTGCAGTATCTCTATTGTATCTATTATATACACATATGCACACGTCGTATATTTGCATTATTTTTTACTGTGATGTTAATTTTAGATTGAAAAATACATTTCTTAAAAAAAAAAACTCAGATACAGTACACATATAGACTGCACTACGGTGTATACGAGTTATGTTTTTAATGCATTTTTTAAAGTGATGCAAAAATACTATTCATTAAAATTACTGATAAGATAATAATACGATCCGTCGTACAGTATTCACGAGATATATTTTTTTAATCAAGATTTTTAAGATCCACTAGATATTTTTTTAATTATTGTTTTAACACATAATTCTAATTAATATTATTTAATATAGTGTATATACAATATGTAACAAAATTCTTTGCACTAAATTAAAATAAAAACATATGCATGTGTACTTGAAAATATAATATATACAGTGGGTGGCCAAAAGTCACCGAACAGTTCAAATGCCAATAGTAAATTTTTTTTTTTTACTAATTATA